TGGCTAAGGAAAAGGGGGGAATAACTTGAGCTAGCTCTGTATGAGCATGAGGAACAATAGCGATCAGGACTGGGTTTGTAACCTGTCAGAGCATTACTGTGTGGAGTCCCATAGACATGAGATCATTGCCTGATCAGGCCAGGGTGGCATCTGTCATCTCATGCATAGGTGTCTCTGGTACACCAGCAGGAGAATTCAGTGGAGTAAAGCAGGAAAATCATCATACTTACCGTTATTTTCCTTTCCTGACATGCTCCATGGCAGCATAAGAATGGGATTACCCCATTCATATGCTGCCATGGAGCAGTCAGGAAATTGGAATTGTTCCTTTGAAGATACTTCTGTTTAATGTTTTCAACTCAGTTTTCAACTCACTAGAGCTAACCGTATTTTGGTCTCTCACATGGCTAGGAAAGATGGCTCTTCCTTATTAGATGATAGATCAGGGGTAGGCGACCTTGGCACTCCAGCTTTTCTGGAACTACAAGTCCCATGAGGCATTGCAAGACTCTGACAGCCACAGGCATGACCCCCAAAGGCAGAGGCATGACGATGTTTGTAGTTTCACCACAACTAGAGTGCCAAAGTTGCCTAACCCTGTGATAGACTTTTCACCAGTGACAAAGTACGTTTTTATGTGCATGTTTAAAGTCGGTGGCTAGCTTCAACCTACACAAAGAAATGTGACACAAAATATCCCCCCAAAAACAAAAAAATAAATGAGGGCTCCCAGCAGATGTTAGTTCATGTGTTACCATGCATTTTGAATGCACACCACCCGGTATGTAATAATGCACTAGCACCCTTTCAGGAAGTTGTCACCTGGGCATGTCTCCAATGGGAGATTTCCTGTGTGGCCCAGATGTTCCATTGTTCTATGGAGGTTGTTCATTATGATAAATTCTGTGCCCTATTTTGTTCATTCTAAAGTGATGATTGACAAGCAGATTCCCAGTGAAGAATGATGAGCCCTTAGATATACTTATCCTTGTTGTACCTCCAGGAACTTGTCCCTGGTTTGGCTGGAACACATAATTCCCACAGAAATAGGAGTGCTCTTGGGTAGGACAAGAAGAAATGTTATAACAGATAGTGTTCAATATATCAAACTAGATATCCCCTGTACAGCCACAGTCACCATTAACACTCAAACCTGTTGCATTGCAATCTAGTACAGGGCCATGTGTGACCACCCACAGTGCTTGTTATCACTTTTAACCCCAAAATCCGGGGTTAAGAGCTAATTTGTGTAACACTGCAACCCACTTGTATAAAAAAAGAAATTTTAAATGTGCCGAGGATGGTTGTTTAGACTGCAACTGCCCTTGGTTACTGTGGAATGTTATCTGCAAACTCTAGACCGGCATTTTTCAACCAGTGTGCTGTGAAATGTTTTGATAGTGTCGGCACCATGAAAACGCATGAATCTAATGCAGGGCAGGCGGGATCCATTTAGCAGAGAATGGAAGTCTTACTATGTCCAGACCCGCTTTTACCTACAGGGCCCAGTACAGCAACTTTATACAAAGCAGCGTGTAGCAGAGGCATTATCCAAGTCATGAGTAGGCAACCTACTCCTGATTATAAGTTGTTGCAAAACTGTAGGGTGGAATTTGTCGTTTTACCTCGGCAGGAGTGCCAAGGTTGCCTGCCCCTGATTTCACCCCTTCATGAATGAGCTTGTTTTTCGTTTCCGTTTATAAATGACTGAGGGCCTGTTCACATGATATCAGGTCCTGATCAGGTGCGGATCTGCAGACTGATGCAGTGCGTTTTTGATGCGTTCAAGTAAAAAAAGTATGTTAGCTGCAGTGCAGTGCGTTTTCTATGCGTTTGCGTTTCTGGACCGTACAAAATGTGACATGCAGTATTTTTTCTGTCGTAAGCTGAACGGACTGCGCATGTGAGAACTGGAGCCCATAAAACACATAGGGATACATTAGGATGCATTTTGAGTGCAGCAGCGTACGGAGCCGGTCAGCACACAAAACGGACGTCTTGTGAACAGGCCCTAACGCCTCACTTAGGACAAATAAAACATAAAAAAAAAAAAAAGGAAAAAAAAACTTTACAAAAACACTTTTTTCCCAGTTTTGATTTGTAGTATTTTTTACAAAACCAGCACAGCTAAAACAAAAATGCAATACATTCAATTATTTGTCCTTTATTTGTTATTTTTTTTACACTTTTTTTTCTCTTTACACTTTTCACTATTTTTTTAAAACTTTTAAAAATGTTATTTTATTTATTTAATTATATCAAGCAGTCATTGTGAATTAATCTCACTGTTACTGCTTGATAAATTAATACATTTTTGGTTATTATCAGGCTGCTTCAAACTTCAGAACAGCCGATAAGTTAGTGACACTGATCCTGCAGCAGTTCAGGATTCAGCTGTCACTAGTTTTCTGAACATTCCAACAACCATCAGCAAACTGAAACATTCTTCTTTCAGGAATAAATACATTATGTGTCTATTCCTGAAAGTGAAAGGAAAAAAAGCCAGTATAGCTTGAGAGAGATATCTCGATCTATACGAGCTGTCAGAATGCCGGCTTTGCCGGGATGTTTGCCCGCTTTGCTTTCACTCTCAGGCACCCGATATTAAGGTATCGGGTGCCTGAAAAAGGTTAACCCTTTCATTAATGGATGCCTCTAAACTTAGGCATCCATTAATGAATGATAAACGCTGATTCTCAGCGGTTACCAGCCTTCTAGTGCAGCTAATAACTCGTCACGTACAGTGTCCGTGACAAGTCATTTGGTCCCTTTGTGGCGGGACGTACAGTGTACGTCTCCCGTCACGAAGGGGTTAAACAAGCTGGAGATTTAGAACCAGAGTCAAATGTTCAAGTTGTACAGAAGATAAAATGAGCAGTGACAAAAGACCGTACACTGCAGATGTTGTCCTGCCAAAGCTTCAATTTCTACGTCACAGTAAAGCTGGCCATACACCTTACGATTATCTGCAGATTTTCTGTGGTCAGATGGAAAAGGGGCAACAGATTCCTCCATCTACACTTAACTGTGTGGATGGAGTAATCTCCACCTGGGCCATCTGATCACAGAAAATCTGCAGATAATCATAAGGTGTATGGGCACCTTAAGACTAAGTAGTGATCCACTTGCTCTGGGTAGAGACGGGTACTTTACTTTTTCGCTTTATAGCGTCAACATTTTGAAAATACAGTTGAAAAACTACTTATAAATACAACTGAGGGGGGTTTTTTGTCACGTTTTATTTGTATTTTTAAAAAAATGCAGCAATTGTACACTGCTTTTGCTGCACATCACATTTTATCACAATACCTTTAGATTTACTCGCTGTCTCCGCTCTAGCTCTGTTGCTAACCTTCATTTCACAAATCCGTGAACAATGGTACATAAGAATAACCAAAAAGGTCATCAAGTTGAATGGCGATGGAGTTGTTCCGCATGCAGAAAAAGCAGATAGACACTACAAACAAAGCCGCACATTTCCACAGTTTTAAAGTGGCCTTTACCCAAAGACAAATGCCATCTAGATACAATGCTCCTAGGTGACCAGCGGAATTTCCCAGATCTTCACTAGTCAACTTCAGAGATGAACAGCACAGTCCTACTCCATTGTGCAGATGGAAAGGAGGGAGGGAGGGACGTATAAAAAGGTGTATTGGCATAAAAAGTATCTTACTCTAGAACTAACCTAACACAGGGCTGGACAAATCCCAGGAGCCAGGAAGTTAAGGCTGCTGAAAAAAATACAGCGGACACCTAACTTTGGAGGTTTTCTCTAGTTGCCGTCAATGCTGCTCCTGGATTGGGCAGACTGCCTCCAGAATATTAAATGTGCCCCCCCCTGATCTATCACTACGCATGAAGCTGCCATAGCGTTTTCAGTTGCCTTTCTCCAAAACTACTCGACATATTCCAAAATGAGAGTGCTGAAACTAAAACTAATGACACGGGGCGTATGTTTCCCTGCAGCATGTAGAGAATATTCTAATTATTTAGGAATCAGTCTTCCAGCTTTCATTGTTTGTTTTTTTTAAATTAAGAAGAAACCAATTTTATACATTAAAAATGTAGAATGTGGAAAACTTGATAAAGATCTATATGCTTAAAAAAAAAAAAAAAAATGTAGAATATTTAAACACAAATAGCTTTTAACACGAGACCTATTCAAACTAAATGTATCTACATTGCATACAAATGAGTTCCACGCTGAATTGACAGTTCACTGAATAAGTAGCTCCACAATAGCACATCTGCCTTTATTGCTCTTATGCATATGGTGCTCTCTGAAGGCACTGTGGTATGGATTAGAAAACATGGAATGACTTTGGTGGAACCGTTTGGAATGACTTCAATAAACGTTGTACAGGTCGTCATTATGGAACCATTACGTGAAATCCGTGGTTTCGTTTTTCCTTGTTCCGATCAACAGAAAAAAAAAAAAAGTGACAGAGTTCATGTTATACTTCACAGGAGAACAAAAGCCATTGGCAGGCAGACTTTACATGCCCATCCTGATGCTCTGGATGATCTGGAAGATTGCTGTGGATGAGAAGCAGACTCGGTGAGTTTACTGAAAAATACATTACACACAATACATGGAATTTGCATTCGTTTGTTTAGGGTGCCGAGGTAAAACTCAAAGCTGATGTACTACAAACTACATGCCACTTTACTTACCTGAGCCCCATTGGCTTCTTCTCCCCTTCGCTCCAGTGGCCTAAGGACCACTGACATCAAATAAAATACAGGCTCCATAGCCCAGCATTGTGTGAGAGAATACCGAGGGACAGAAGAGAAAAGCTCTGACTGAGTGGGAGCAGACAAGTAAAACAGCTTTCACCCTCTTCCTAGGCATAAACCAGCAGTGCCAGGGAAACAATCCCCGGAGTTGGGCTGTAAATTATGCTGGAGTTGGGTTTAAAGTGACACTAGACTCAGGAGTTGTAGGAGAATTATGAGGTGAGTGATTTTCATTCAGCCTCGTAATCTGAGCAGACGTGTGACAATGAGACTGTCACGGGTCGGCTTAGTAGATCGGGAAGTGAGCGAATACATACCGGCGTTCGCTCACTTCTCGATCTATCCCTGCAGAGAGCCGTGACTGTCACTCACGGCTCCCTGCAGGGATTCCCCGCTCTTCCAGTGCTGACTGGCGGAATGGACGGGGGAGGGGGCGGGTACAGCTGGCTCTGCCTCCAGATAGGCAGAGCCAGCTGTCACTCACACAGCTGGGTGGATCCAGACAGCATTGTCGGGATCCGTTCCGGCGTCTCATTATACCGTAAGCTGCAGCTCGCAGTATACTGAGCTTTGGGTGACGGGACAAGGCTAGTTTGTGTCCTCCCGTTACCCTTAAAAGCCCTGACCCCGTAGTTCTCCTTTAAACTCAGTTCTGGTAACAACTGTAAACTTTTGTATTTCCAATCACTGTCAGTCACAGTGACAGGAGTTCTAATCCTTCCCCCTCTAATATACTGTAAAGTGACACTAAGCTCAGGTGTTACATTTATTCACGTATCTTAACAGAAATGTATCTTATTTGTGTATCACTCGGCTGTAGATCATCAAATCATCTCTGAATTGGTGCTGACACTGTCCTTTCTTCTGGAGGGTGGCTACTTTTGTTCCCCATGGTCCCTGTGTGTGTTGTAAAGTAGTCACCGCTCCAAGCTCACATCTGTGAAGGACTACAATCTCAGGTTTAGTTTACTAATTTGTACGGAAGTTACAGTTCCTCACAGGAGCGAGCTTGAAGCGGTGGCTACTTTACAACACACACGGAACATGGGAAACACAAGTAGCCACCCTCCAGAAGGAAGGACAGTGTCAGCACCAATTCAGAGATTATTTGAGCTGAGTGAATAACAGAAATGTATCTTATTTGTTCATCACTCAGCTGTTGATCCTCAAATCATCTCTGAATTGGTGCTGCCACTGTCCTTCCTTGTGGAGAGTGGCTACTTTTGTTCCCCATGTTCCGTGTGTGTTGTAAAGTAGCCACTACTCCAAGCTCATTCCTGTGAGGAACTATAACTTCAGTACAAATTAGTAAACTAAACCTGAGGTTGCAAGCTTGGAGCGGTGGCTACTTTACAACACACACAGGGACCATGGGGAACAAAAGTAGCCACCCTCCAGAAGGAAGGACAGTGTCAGCATGAAGTCAGAGATGATTTGAGGATCTGCAGCCAAGCAATACACAAATAAGATACATTTGTGTTAATAGTTCAGGTACTTGAATGCATATTTAAGATTTAACTCCTGAGTTTAGTGTCACTTTATATACGAAACTTCTCCCTACCCAGACAAAAAGACAACAATTGTGTAGGAGGGAAGGAGGAGGTGGCAGATCAGAGGACTTTCTTTTTATAGGTGAAGAACTACTGAACAGATATGAATAATGATCTGTAATTAATACTGCAATCTTTCTTTTGTATCAGAGAAGTAATACCAAGTAGGCATGTTAAACTACATTGATTATGTGTATAACATGCACACGTGTACATGGGACCTAACATATGGCAACACAAAGGGTCCCAATGTTGCGCAATATTGGTTTTAAGAGATTAACACTTGCTAGACCATGGGGTACCAGCAATACAATGTAACCTAATGGTATGAACTTTACTTTCACAAAAGCAGAAAAACTGGAAACCCTGAAATTGTTTGTTATTCAGGAGACATTTTACAGCACAGCGTCTACTAATGAGGTGTAAGAAGAAGTGAAACACATTGAAGATGTCTGTAATGAAGAGAGGAAGGAAAGTGGTTTGGAGATCCTGTGCCCAGTATGGGAAGTAGTATACGTGTTCAGCAGACCAGAGAGGGCTGATGTCAGAGGAAACACTTCTACACAGCAAAGGGCTGCTCCTGATGTTATACACAGTCCGCCTACAAAACCTGGATCACAGCTAACGCAGGCTGAGGAAGAAGAACTAGTATTCGGGGAATTCTGATGGTGTCCAGCTGTTCTGGAATATCACCCCCCCCTGGACGATCAGCCAACTCATCTACAACTACCTAGACACACCAGACCTACAGTCCATAATCCAAAAGCAGGGGGGGGACAAATTATTACAGGCTGCAGGAGCCAGTCTGTCCAATCCAGGAGCAGGATTTTATTTTTGTAGTCAGGACCACTGACAACAACCAGAGAAAACTTCAAAAGTTAAAGTCCAGATGTCATTTTTATGGAGCATTGGCTACAGGTCACCTGGGATTCGTCCAGCCCTGATCTAGAGATTCTTCACCCTACATAGATGGGGTCACAGATCATTTGACAAATGTTCATATGGAATTCAGGAGACAGTCAGTCCACTTTAGAAGCATACTATGAAAGGGTCATGGGCCAAGGTTTCAGTGTTAGAATCTTTACACAGGTCAAGCCTCATTCACACTGGCAGCATCAAGTCTGAGTTTGTGTTGGGCATTTCTAAGCCTGAGCCTGATTAAAGCTGCGGCTGTTCACATGTTTCCACACATCTGATGGTCCCCTGCAAATAGGGACAGGATGTTTGACCCCAGATGCAATCTGTCTGCGTCCAGGGTCGGCCATATGCACCTATACACAGGTAACTGTCAGTTGTGCGGATAGAAGCAGAGATGGATAGCCGCACCTTCAATCAGCCTGTCATTGCTCTGCATGGGCTGAGCGGACGCAGCTGACTCCAACCATCTGTGATCCCAGCCGGCCCTAATCGCTCATGTGAATGGGCCCTAAAAGTTGTCACATAACTTCTCCTGTGTTTAGAAAAGCTGAACTCAGGGGTGCCAATGTGACCATAGCCTAGATGTCAGAGCTCCTGGAACATGACCAGCCCTGACACACACACAATATATAGAGAGCAGGCACTGGCATTGTGAACCCGATTTTGGCAGGGATGGCTGCTACTTGTGGTTCCTCTGCCACTGTGTAATGGTGATCTACAGAGAGAAGCCACTCACCAGATCCGCAGACCACGAAGATGAAGAGGGCCAGTAACCAGGGACCTACCGATGACTTCTCATCTGTGGCGTTCCTCTATGGGACATAAAAGAGACAAACGATCAGACATCCCGTGCCCCCAGTCACCGTACAGACACGTCTCCCCTCCTCCCACAACACATACCGCGGTTTTGGCCACGTTGCCTCTCTGTGTGATGTTCTTGCTGTGTTTCTCATTCGCCATTCGGATTCTCTGCTTGGCAACCATGGCTGCTGTGAAGCGGATGGATACCGGGATATGGGGGGAGTGATGAGACCCCGGGACAGCGATCACCTGGCTCGCAGGGTGTGTGAGTAATAAATAGGATTCTCTGAGGTGCCAGCGTAGGCAATTCCACAATCCCCGCCCACAGCCGGAACTACGTAGTGGCTGTGACGCGTTCACGTAATTAGGCTTTCTCAAATAGTCCCTCCCACACGTGTTATTGGAGCGCTGTCTGGGTTTGTCACCGTTACGAGAATGTAGTCCCCGGCATGGAGGCTGCGCTGCGGTGTGATCTCCCGGGGGCTGGTCTCTTATTGGCCGCCGGCGGCAAGATGTGGCATTGGCTGGCTCTCAGAACGGGTGACCCTGAGGCTGCCTAATGTCCGTGCGGTTGGGGGGCAGTGGACATCAGGGGGATTGATCACAAGCTGGAGCAGTTGCAACTAATCAACTTCACTCTTATTTTCAAAGCTTAATTGAACAAACTGAAGAGAGAAGCTGATTGGTTGCCATGGGCAACTGCTCCAGTTTGGATACATTCCCCCATCTGTATGTCAGAACAGAATTTTTTTTCTTGTATGAACGTGGAGGATGTCAGTTCTTGGCTGCAGTTCTCACATTTACAGTCTGGTCACAAGGCTTCATCAATGTCATGTCATCCACAGCAGCCGAGACATAACTGCGGATGTCAGGATCGTCTCTGAGGGCTCCGCTGGTTGCTCCCCATTTACTGCAGCCTCCACACCCCCATTGGCTGATCAGTCACGCCCCACCCACATTGCAATCTGGCTCTAGAAAATGTAATGTCTGAGAGCCAATCAGCTGACAGCAGCCTGGGAGGGGGGTCCAGATTGTGCAGAGTATGGAGGAGTGTATCTAACGAATGTATTTATCTAGCAGACAATTTACATAGCGCACATTCACATCAGTCCCCGCCCTCAGAGCTTACAATCTTATATCCCCCTCTCACATACAGATCCAGTTATAGATGTGGGATGTGAACCAGAGACTCCCAGTGCTGCAAGGCAGAAGCGTTAACCACTACAGTGCTGTGCCGCCCTAACTAATGGAGGAGTAAAAGATCAGAGGAGCCGCAAAAGGTGACAGTGCACATGGACTGCGTGCCAAGCTTTTGTCTTTTTATAGTTTGTGTTGCAGTGGCCAGACACACACATATATACACACACAGACACACACATATATACACAGACACATATATATATAGACACACACATATATACACACACAGACACACACATATATACACACACACATATATACACAGACACATATATATATAGACACACACATATATACACACACACATATATACACAGACACATATATATATACATACACACACATATACATACACACATATACATACACACACACATATACAAACACATATACACACACACACATATACACACATACATACACCTATATACACACACACTTTGGATACAATAAATTCCACCCTGCCCCACACTATATGCTGTGCTATACGTTTCCTATTCTATTCCACACCGCCTCATTCTATACACTGTGCTGTGCAATC